TATGAAGTCAAATGAAAATATGTAAAACCAAGGGGAAACAGTGTGAGAGGAGGAGGATGGGTGAGGAAGGCCGTCAGAAGGAAAGCACTAAGCTGCTAAATCTGTATTGTGATCCGTGTGAAATTTGTCCACTTTGTATAAATAAAACTAACACGAGTATTCATTTTCAGGACTTAGATGTAGGCTGATCCCTGGGTAGCTGAGCGGATGCGCAGCACTGCGGTCACAGCGTGCAGTGGAGGCTGGCACACCGAGCCCCGATTCAGACGTGCGGTGTGTGTGGTCTTCACGTCTGCTGTCCGACGTTAGTGTTATTTGATATGCACTGTCTGATGCTTGTCTGATGCACGCTGGGTGTTGTGTCAGCTGGTGTTCAGTCTTGAGTCTGCTCCGCTCCTTCCTGCCTCACGCCGTTTTGTGTCTGCTAGTGCTGAGTTGTCCCCCATGTGGCCACAATGGCCAGCGCTGAGCTGATCCAAAGCCAGGAGCCAGGAGCCAGGAGTTTCTTTCGGGTCTCCCCCACGGGTGCAGGGTCCCAAGGCCTTGAGCCATCCCCCTCAACTGTTTTCCCAGGTCACAAGCAGGGAGCTGGATGACTGGCGCTCAATGGGATCCTGGTGCATGCAAGGCAAGGACTTTAGCCACTAGGCCACCGTGCAGGGCCCAGGATACATTTTTCAATCCATTAGTTAGAATAAATGAAATCTCTTTCAATATTTTTGCCTTTTGTCAGTGTAAATATATTCAAAGGGGTTTAACTGAATAGATTAATTCTGAAGGAAAAAAAACAGTGGAATTAAACACCTTTAACTTGTGAAATATGTTCTTTCTTTTAAAATTCATTTAACCAATGTAGATAAATATTTTAGACTTAGAATCGATGGGATTTAAAAGAAAAGATACACATATGTGATATCGAAAGAGTCTCTGAAAAATAATTTTCAATGAAATTGATTTAAAATTTTGTCTTTTTGAGCTGGACTGTTTCAATAGCAGCTTTAAAAAAATAATACTTTAAAGTCAGATAAAGAGATAAGGGGAGAGAGAGAGAGAGAGAGAGAGAGAGAGAGAGAGAGAGAGAGAGATCAAGAACGTTTGCTTACCGCCACTGGTTCACTACATCTAGGGTTAAGGCAGGCCCAGAACCAGGAAGAAGAAATCCAACCCAGTTGGCTCCCATGGGTGAGCTGCTGCCTCTTAGACTGCGCATTAGCAAGAAGCTCGAATCCAGTACAGAGCCGGGACTTGAAGGCCAATATGGGAGGCAGACATCCTTTGTAGAAACTAAGCCAATAGGACACCTCATCCCCATTTCTGCTGTTAAGAAATCTTTGACTTGAGGAGCTGTTTTAAACTTTTGTCCTCGGTTGCCTTACTAGGAAAGACTAGATCTCTAAGGTCTAGCTGGCTTACAAAGTGTTTTTTAAGTGGAGGGGCAGAATGCCTCTCTCTCTATATATATATATATCGGAGTGGTGATAACTTTCTACATGTTGCCAATCACATGTCCAGTCACTGGCTACTTTAAACAAGAAGTTGGTTTAAGGAACATGAAAACTTGCCATGGGCTCTTGAGTAAGATAAATTCTCAAGAGACGGTTTCAGAAAGTCCAGCAGCACAGGACAGTGGCACATTGGGGCTTGGACAGGAGGTTGAGAAGAGCTTCTTGCTGGTCACACTGGGCTGGGCACTCGGAACTCTGCCTCTGAGCTCCATGGTCTCTAGGCCTCTGTGCATAGCCCCTGCCCGGCTGCAGGCTCTGCCGTTCCCAGGCCTCTCTTACGCACAGGCCCCACGGTAGAGGTTACTTGTCCTGGTCCTTGTCATGTCTGAGCCCTGTTCTCTTACCCAGACCTGCTGCAGTGGCCTGGGGAGACACATAGAAGCCAAGCTGCCAGGACAACAGCACGCCTTCTGCTCAACCTGTTGGGGCCTCACTCTGTTCTGGGCTGGTCCCCACGCAGGGCAGCAATTCTCATGCCTACTCACCTGTGCAGTAGAGGCCAGCTGGCAGGGTGGAAGAGGTCCAGCCCCAGGGCCCTTTGGAGAAGGGTCAGCAAGTGTCATACTTCAGCACCCTGAGGCCAGTGAGGAGGCAATTGCTGCACCTGGTGCAACTTGCCCAGGAGTCTCAGTGGGCAACAGCGACCTGCCAAATGAAAGCAAGGTGGGGCAGGCTGGTGCTCACTCTAACACATCCCTCCCTGCCCACCACCTTCCTGCCTGGCAGGGTGTTAAGTCTGCCCGAGTGCTCAGGAGGCTCCCACCTCCTGTGGGTACTCAGAACCACACAGGTGGTACTTCCATCAGGCGCATTGGCCTTCAGCTTCCCAGCATGGTCATTCACCATCTTGGCCAGCATCTGCCATTCCTGCCCCTTCTGGACCAGCTTCTCTGTGAGTGGCTATGGCCTCACGTGTAGTGTCATACCATCTCCAGTGGAACCTGCATGAGAAATCACCAGACTGAGGCAGAAGCTTCAAGGAAAGATGCCCCCTGGACTTGGCTGCATCTCTAGTGGTCTTGGTATTCCTGGCTGTTCTCTCTTTGCTCTTATCTTTATGGCTGGAATAATGCTATTTATGCGTGACAAAGGCTCAATGTTCCTTTTTAGTTCTATGAAGCCTTCTGATGGGAGGTTGGACAAGGATTGCAAGCTGTATGGCATAAAAACTATCAGGCCACTAGCTTTATAATAAACCCACCTGGGACTATTTTGGGGGATTCCTAAAAGAAGATTATACTAGAGATCTATAGCTTTAAAAAAAACTCTACAGGAAGAAAACCTAAGAAAAATAGGCAGGTTAATATTAAAACCAACATAAGGCACAGGGTACAATGAGAGCTAACTGCTTAATGATTAAAACTGCAGCTGGTGCCACACCGCGTCCACAAGAAATAGCAACCGCAGTCTGTCACCAGGCTATTAGAGAACAATCTTTTCTCAACAGTACTGCTTACCTTCCTGGAATAATTGTTTGTAGAAATGTAACCACATGAATAAACAAAGAGAATGTTCCGTTGCAATCATTGCAATCATCTATTGTATATAAGTTGATGCTTTTTTTGCTTTTGCAAAATGCACTCAGATACAACTGTCTAGAGTTGTCGTGTCTGTTTATCACAGGCCGAATCCTTGTCCACCGTTCCTGGGGTTCTGTTCCCGTCATTGCAGTGTAGAGTACAGGCAGGGATGTATGCTGATTGACGAGAGGGCTGGCCCCATTTGGAGTGGTGACAGTTGTGGCACTGTTATGGGCACTGGCAGGTGCAGGGGGTGCCGGCTCCCCACCCAGTGCTCTCCAGCTGCCAAAGCCTCCCCAGCTGGCAGGGAGACAATTAGGGCACCAGCAGCAACCTGCTGTGGCTTCTGTGAGCCTTGGCTGTGCCTGCCCAGATGGGCAGGTTAGGGTGAGGGGAGGCATGACTGGCTGTTGTTTGGCCAGTGCAATGTTGCCCACTGGCTGCCCAGTGCACTTCACCTGTGCACAGTACTCCACAGCCTGAACCACCTGAGTGAGTGCCAGTGCTGCTCCTGAATGGCACTGATACGCAGGACCATGTGGAGGTAGGGGCTGTCCAGTGTGTGCCCACTCTCAGTGAACAGCACTGGGGGTGGGGGGTGAGCAACTGGGCAGCGGGGAGGACATAGTGTACAACTCCCCTTACCCCTGCCCATCCTTGGTCTCAGCTCCGTATGGCCCACCCTGTAGCCTGGACAGGCTGCTTGAGGGCCCAGGTCTCTTTCACATCATGTGGGCACTTGGGGCCAGGGAGATTAAAGAGAAGGGAACATTTGTGACCCATTGGAAGCCGGGTGCTCCTTGACTTACCACAGGGCTATGTCCCAGTGGTGAGTTGAAAATGTGGTCAATGGAAAAGGCATTGAACAATCACCCAGCCTGCTGCACTGTACAGTGGGGTCATTGCCCTCTTGCCTGTGGGGTTGGCTGGGAGCTGTGCTTGCTGCTGCCCAGCGTCACCAGAGAAGCTTGGATTGCACAACAGTAGCCCAGAACAGATAAGAATTCAAAACTCCAAGCCAGTGGTTTTCCTTTAGCCAAAAAAAAAAAAAAAAAAAAAAAAAAAATCACAAACCTAGAACCTTCTGTGTCAGATCCGGTTTCTTATGCCAAGGTAACCTCGAACTTAGCCAAGTGGAGTTGGCCAGAAGCTACCCTGGTAGAATGGACGCCACCAGTAATGTTGAAGATGGGAGAATACAGTCAATGCCACTTGTGCTGGCCAGGGCCCAGGAAGGGGACCTTGGGTTCTGGAGGAGCGGTTGGATTTAACTTCTCTGTGGGAATTCAAGTATGAATTGGACCTGGCTTTTATGCTACAAAAACTTCAAGTTGTGTGTGCAAGGGTTGGAACATCTGGCCTCCTTATGGGTGGTTACAAGGACCAGCTTAGGTGATCCTGGTGAGAGAGATTTGAGTTGCCGTTGTCTTGCTGATTCCGACTTTGGAAATCTACCCGTTCCACCCATTCATGGATGGCTCCACTGCCTTGACTCTTCAAGTCAGTCAAAGGTATTCGGGGAGTTCTCACTTCCTATAGGCTCTCTTTGTATTCTTACAGGTTCTGAATTCTCCCATCATGTGGGCACGGGTTCGTGTCCCAGTCGCTCCACTTCCCATCCAGCTCCCTGCCTGTGGCTTGGGAAGGCAGTGGAGGACATAAATATTTCATCCCAGGCATAAAACATTTAAGCAAAACACCAGGAAAACAGAACAGAGTTATAAATGATTTATTGGATCTTGAATTCTAGCACCCAGATTTCAAGCTCATTTCATCAAGGCTATCTCTTCTTTAGTGTTCCCACCATCTGCTGTTTCTTATCGCTTCCCACCCCTTCATCCTTCTACACTCACAGCATATAGAATGCCTAGCATATTTGGTAAGGTCCCTTTAAATACCATTTGAGCCAATGGAAAATGTCACAATGGGTAAAACATGACATCGCCAGGATTTGGAGTCAATGATTGGCAACCTCAGTAGCAGGGTGAGCCACAATCTCTAGGAGCATAAAAACCCATTTTTGGCTTCCTAGTAGATTTCTTTGTGAGCGTTTGCCTAGATTCTCTGGACATGTAGAAATAAAAGAAAATCTCCTAGATTCTCAATATTTTTTTTTTATCAAAATGCAAAGTAAAAAAGATAATGAATCTGAATTTAAAAATGAGTTTGAGAATTCCCCCAATATAAGAAACCCCAAAAATGAATTGGATACTCCAGAGATCACTACGATTGAAATTCCACATGCAGTTCAAGAAATCCTCAGAAGGATTGAGCAAGCACAGCTTCTTCGAGCCAGAGAGGTATGTAAAGAATTACAAGTGTATAGATTGCAACATAAGGTTTGTCGAATTTATTTCTATTTCCTTGAGTAACAGTGACAAAAAGAGAGCAACAGAAATATACCGAGATCACGCATCCGCTGGATTCACTCCTCAGATGCCTGCAACAACCAAAGCAGGGCCATGCTGAAGCTAGGAACCAGGAACCCCCAACCTGCGTACAATGTGCAGATGACAGGAACCCAACTACTTGAGCCACTTGCTACCTCCCAGGTGAACAGTGGGAAGCTGGAATGGGGAAGAGAACCAGAACTCAAGCCAGCCCTCCAACTCCATCTGAGTTCCCCCTCCTCCGAGTGGGTGGTAGGGCCCAAGAACTTCTGTCTTCTGGTGCTCTCCCAGGCCCATTAGCAGAGGATTGGATTGGAAGTCAAGCAACTGGGACTCAAGCCAGTGCTCCTAAATGGGATGCCAGCACCATAGCAGTGGCATAGGCACCTGGTGTGCCTAACAGAAATGAGAAGTGCTTTGAGCAGCTCCTGTGATTCTGGAGGGCACAACAGGATTTAGGGGAAAGCAGTAGAGGATGGCTCATGTATTTGTTGGATAAACATGTGGGAGACCCAACTGGGATTTTGAACTCCTGGCTTTGGCTTGACACTGCTGTAGCCATTGTGACCACTTGAGGAGTGAGTCAGCAGATGGAATATTATCTATCTATCTATCTATCTATCTATCTATCTATCTATCTATCTATCATCTACCTTTCAAATAAATAAATATTTTTTATAAGTGAGTGAAAACATTTTCTGACTTGTTGAATGAATTAGGACCGCTACTGTAAACTTGAATCAAAATCATGAGAATACACATCCTTGCTTTGTGTTTCATGTCAGTGGAAGTTTTTTCTTTTTTTTGCCATCAGGTATGATGATGCTTGCTGTATATTTGTAATGGTGCTCTTCACCTGCTTGGAGAACTTCTTTTCTTGCCCCTGATTTACTGAAATTTTTATCAGGAATAGATAATGTGTTAAATTAAAGGCTTTTACTACATCCCCTGCATCTGAACAACAGTCCTGTTGAATGTGTCAATATAATGAATTTTATTGATTTTTTTTTTATGTTTAACTGCAGGGGCCCACATTGGGGGCTTAGCAGGCAAAGCCACCTTCTTAGATTCTGACATCCCACTCTGAGTACTGGTTGCACCACTTCTGATCCAACTCCCTACTAATGTGCCTGGTAAAGTAGCACTGGATAGCCCAAGTACTTGGGTTCTTGCACCCATCTGGGAGACCTAGAAAAGTTTCTGGGTGCTGGCTTCAGCTTGGCCCGGTCCTTGCCATTATGGTCTTTTGGAGAATAAACCAATGGATGGAAGACCTCTCCTTCAACTCTGCTTTTCAAATAAAATAATTTTTATTTATTTTTTTTAAAGATTTATTTTTATTGGAAAGGCAGATATACAGAGAGGAAGATCTTCCGTCTGATGATTCACTCCCCAAGTGAGCGCAACAGCCGATGCTATGCCAATCCGAAGCCAGGAGCCTCTTCCGGGTCTCCCACGAAGGTACGCGGTCCCAAGGCTTTGGGCCATCCTCGACTGCTTTCCCGGGCCACAGGCAGGGAGCTGGATGGGAAGCAGGGCTGCCAGGATTAGAACCAGCGCCCATATGGGATCCCGGGCGTGCAAGGCGAGGACCTTAACCACTGCGCCATTGCGCCGGGCCCAAATAAAATAATTTTTAAACAAAATCTATGGAGCAGTATTTGAGAAAGGATCAGTCCATTGAAAGGCAAGCAGAGGTTGGAATTCTAATTATATGCAGAAAAATACAACCTTTAGGTGTAGAATTGTGGCACAATGGGTATCTGAGCTAGGATACTATAGGGACTTGGCACATAGGGGTCAAGTTGAACAACCGTCTCATTAATGCCCCTGAGATGTTGAACCTTTCAATATTTTCCACTTGACCATTAACAGGAAGAATGAGGCTACTACAAGGAGACTGACACATAGCCAGAACTCCGACCTTGAGAAGAAAGGTCATCTGATTGTTGGTCTCAGCAGACTTGGTAGCAATTAACCTGGAGAAGTGCCCAGGGAAGATAACAAAGCCTTGTGCCAAGGAAGAGTTGGAAACTTGAGCACCGCCAAAAGCTGGCAAGAACAAAGAACATTTTTTTTAATCTGGCAAGCTAGATAGGAAAAGAAAACTTCTGAGTGTGAGGCTTGCATCAAGTCCCATGATGCCATTGCTCTGGGGATAAAGGTCCTACATGGCAATTCAGTGCAGAGCAAATTTCCCTATACATATTTTGAAATCAGCTCTTACTGGAGACATGGAAAGTCACCTGGCATTCCAGGCAAGATGTGCATATGGATTGTGGAAGCCACCTGAGTTCCGGGGTACTGTCATTCCACAAACAAAGACATGAGGGATTTAGGAGTCCCCACACACAAGCATGGGAATGCAGGACAATACTGGTTTGAGTGGCTGTTTCTTTGACACTGAAGGAAAGATCTGGGGAAACTTTCTAGGTAGAGGCCTTCCTTGAATCAGTGTCTTGGCTCCCCATGCTTGAGTATTGTTTTCTGGGCCTTTTCTATAAGAAAATGCCTTCCAGGTAGGTTATCAGATGGCCAGGCACTGGTCACAGTAACTACTCTTCATGGGTTCTGAGTGGTGCTGCTCCCCGCTTCGGAGTGCCCTGTCTAGATTAGGAAACACTACATCTAGCTTCTAGTTCACGGGAGTCTGAAATCCCATGTCAGGTTCTGAAGCTTGCCAGTTGCTGAGCAAACACTTCTAGGGGGTGAATCCACAGGGAAGAGGGGTAGAATTGTGCGGGCAGGAAGTCTCTTTATGACCTGTGAAGAGAAGAAGCCATGGCTCCATATGGACTCAGACACAAGCATTGAGCATTGTGATCTGGCAACGCAATGTCTCCTTGTACCACTAACTGATTGCTTCTGTTGATTTAAACACCCCAGTCCTTTCCAGAATCCCCTGAGGTTTGACCCAGACCTGGGATCTCCTCCCAGATTTCAAATGCAGCTACCCAAAGCTTCAATCATTTGGAGAGGTCTTCACTACTGCACCTAGGAACCCTGGGTTCCATCAGCACCTGACCCCTAGGTTCTTGTCCCAGGAGGGTTCTAGAATTGCATCCAGGGATCCTCGCACTCTGGGGCTTCACCACAGATATGTTCCAACTCAAACCCTAGGGTAATAATCTGCACCCAAGCATCCTCAGATGCAGGAGCTAAAGCTTGCATCTAAGGTCCAGTGGGGACCTCAAAGCTAACCATGCAAGGAGACCGCGAGATATAACAAACCTCTGCTAGCTACTGGCACCTGATCCATATGCCGGGACTGAGAATCAGAGCTCAGACCTGCTCCGTGTTTGTTAGCCCTTCAGGCATTTCCAAGTAGAGCATCCCACATTGACTTTCCGTGGAACCTGCTTTCCTCAGAGCCACTGCCATATGAATTTTATTAGGGCTTTAAGCCAGGCACTGGGGCAAGCTAGCCATCAGGGCTTGGATTGGCTGACATGACAAGAGACAGTGGCAGCGCACACACCCCCAAACATGTCAGCCAGCAGACAAACTGTCCTGTAGCTGAGAGGCGGGTGCAACAACCGTGTTGTCTTGGTCCTGCCTCCTTAAGAAACTGAGTCTTGAAGTCCTGCTCAAACTGCTGACTACCTGGGAACCACCCCAATAGCTATGGAGGCCAGACTCTTGGGCTGGACCCCACGATTTCTGTGCAGCTACAAAGGAAAAGAAGGCGTTTGAAGTTCACCATATGGGAGCTCAGTAATGGCAAGGACACCCCTAGGACAGTCCAGCAGGAGAGGACTCTGGGAACACAACGCCACCAATACCTGTCTGGGAATGGTGGCTCCATCACACATATGCACTTCCCTCACCTGCCAGGAGGAACTAGGAACTGGCCAAATTCCTGTATTTTCCAATACATGCTAACGCGCTTGGGAAGATTTCTCCAGGGGGTTCCCTGTGCTCTGTGGGGCCTCCAACTGTTAGAATACCGAAGTCCCCAGGTTCATATTTCAAACACCTGCCCAGAGGCTGTGAGTATAAAAGAAAAGAGCGCCTTTTGAATGCCTGGATTTGGGTGTGTATCATTGTCATCTTAACATGACATCTTCCAATCAATGAAAACCGGGATGTCTTTCCATTTACTTGTACCTCCTTTAATTTCTCTTGGTACCATGTTGTAGTCAATACTAAGAGTGTATAGGGGCTGGCGCAGTGACACATCCAGCTAATCCTCCACCCTTCAGTGATAGCGTCCCATATGAGTGCCAGTCCGTGTTCTGGCTGTTCCATTTCCCAACCAGCTCTCTGCTTATGGCCTGGGAAAGTAGTGGAGAATGGCCTGGATCCTAGGGACTCTGTACCTACATAGGAGACCTAGAAGAGGCTCATGGCTCCTGGCTTCAGATCAGTTCAGCTCTGCTGTCACAACCATTTGGGGAATGAACCTGATGGAAGACTTTCCTCTACATCTTTCCTTCTCTCTCTGTAAAATCCGCCTTTCAAATAAAATAAATCATTTTTAAAATGTAAGTGTATAAATCACCTATATCCTTGATTAGGTTTATTAACTTAAGAATGAATCTTCATATTTTTATTCTAGATTAATGGAATTTTCCTAATTTCCTTTTTGGAGTGCTTACTTGTAATGCATAACAAAGTCCTGATTTTTGCTTGTTGATTTTGGTGAATCCTACAACTTTGCGGCAATCATTCATTTTAAAAAATGTATTTATTATTATTATTATTATTATTATCATTTTAATGATACACTTTCATAGACTCTGGGATTTCCCTTATCCCCTTCCAAACTCCCTCCCACATCACTGAATTCCCCTATATCATTACTATAGTATAATTCTTCATACACAGTCATATGTCCATCATTGGGGGCATGGACAATGGCAGAGAGTCCAGCATCCTATTGTCAAGATATAGTAAGCAGTTTCATGGAGTCCATCTTTGTCTGGAAGTAGAGATGCATACTGCATTGTATCCTCACATCTGGATATGTTAGTCTCCATTTCACAGTTACTGTACATCCCCTCAAATGAAGAGCCACAATACGAGATCAACAATAGGAAGGAAAATGAAAGTTTACAATGCTACGAAATTAAATAACATGTTACTAGATGACAGTCTCCATTATACAGCTACTATACATCCCATTAAATGAAAAACCACAAAACAAAATTAACAGGAAGAAAAAAGAAATTAACACCACCATGAAGTTTATAACATGCTACTGAATAATTAATGTGTCGCTGAAGAAATGTAAAAGAAAATCAAGAACCTTCTTGAAGAAAATGATGCTACTCTATGATCTGTGAGTCACTGAATGATTGAATCAGAAGAAAGTGTTTTGAAGAGATGAAACTAACAAAACATCAAAACCCATGCAGTATAGTTTCCGCTGATCTTTGTTGGTGAAATGTGTCTCTACTAGACAATAAATAGATGAGTTTTGGTTTTTAATCCAGTCTACTAATCTATGATGTTTGATTGAGCTTAAGCCATTTACATTCAGGGTTAATATGTATGGACGGTAATTTAGTCCTCTCATTTTGGGAATGGGTTGTTCATTGATTTAGTCTTCTGTTGTCATTTCACTGGAATGTTCTTCCCATTTGCCTTTGATTTTGTTGGGTACTATTCCTCTTCTCTGTCAAGAAAACATCTTGAAGTATGATTTGTAGGGAAGGTTTGGAAGAGACAAATTCTTTGGCCTTTTCTTTACTGTGGAAGAATTGTATTTCACTTTCAAAGACAAAAGAAAGCTTTGCTGAATACGTTATCCTTGGCTGACAATTTTTTCTTTTAGAATCTGGAATATGTCACTCCATTCTCTTCTTGCCTGTAGAGCTTCCTGTGAGAGGTCAGCTGTGAGTTTAATTAGCATTCCTTTATATGACAGTTGATTTTTTTCATGTGTACATTTAAGGATCTTTTCCTTATGTTCAATTGAAGAGAGCTTGATGATCATGTGTCTTGGTGAGGATCACTTTTGATCAAGCCTGTTGCAAGTTCTGTGCCCCTCCTGGATCTTGTTTCCCAATTCTTTCTCTAGATGAGCGAAATTTTCCCTTATTATTTCATTGAATGCATCTTTAATCCCAGCTTCTCTTTCTGCACCTTCTGGGACTCCCATAACTCTTACATTTGGCCTCTTAATAGTGTCTTTCAGTTCTTGAATACTTTTTTTGGCCTGACTCAGCTCTGCTTCCAGCTTTTTGTTTGTTTCCCCCTGGTGACAGGAAATGTCTTCCAATTCTGATATTCTTTCTTCTGCTTGCTTCATTCTACTTTGGAGACTCCCCACTGTACTTTTAATTTGCTCTACTGTGTTCTTAATTTCTAATATATCAGCCTTGATTTGCTTTATTGATGCTATTTCTTGTGTAATGTATTCTTTAAATTGTTTGAATTCTTGTATGTGCTTCTCATCGTTGATCAGAAGCTTTATAATGAGTTTTCTGAATTCTGAGTCCCCCATTTCCTGATGTCTTCCTCAGTTAGCTCTGAGGATGGCATAGTGTTTTGCTCCTTTGCGGGGGAGTCTTCAGTAATATTCATTTTGCCTTTGTGTCTTCTTTTGCTCTTGATCATTGTACTTCTGGTTATCAGATTCTTCTGCTTGGGGTAAGTTTCTAAGCTGTGTCACCCACAGGTCTCCTATGTGTTTTTACTTATTGCAGTTGGTACATGCCTCTTTGCTTGCAGCCATTTATACCACTCCCTCTAGGGAGTTCCAGGTCTGGGTTCTGAAGTTAGATTTCCACCAACTGCTGGCTCACTACTCTTCACATCCTATGTTATCATGCCAAGATTGCACTGTTGTCTGTACAACCTTTGTCCCACTTCCGGTTACAGCAGGTCCCAGGATTAGAGAGACACCAGGTGTCCTATATAATTAGGTTGTTGGTGGCGCTGATCTTGCCAGAACTTGTTGACTGTTAGGTTTGGGTGCCACATGGACCCATTTTGCCCCATACAATGCCACAATCGGTATTGTTTTCCGTGGGATCAGTGAAATCCAATGAATTCAGTGAGTTCTCGCGAGCTCAGCACATGCACAGTTCATTGTTGTCCCCTGCAGTCCTAAACTTTTGCCATAGTATAAGAAATGGGGTCTGATGTGCCACTACTAGAGTTCTTGATCTGCTGGCCATCAGGTATGAGGGATACCCAGAGCTGCCCTGGGTGGAACCTGTAGAATGCCACGCTGTTGCATTTCAATGAGCCAAAAATAAGTTCACTCCCCGCTCAGTGCATGCTCAGTCCTTTCCCTGCCTTTGCCTCGTTACGCAAAATGGCACCCAATTCAACTCTAGAGGGCTGACTGGGCTGTGAAATCCACCCTGTTCTCACACTGCCCATCTGGGATCTGATGCTCTGTCTCTGCTCCTGGCCAAATCAAACGGACCAGCAGGATGGACAGTTCTTTGTCTGGGTTCACCTCCCAAGCAACCAGTGAACATCCCTTCCCACCCTGTTGCTGGTGGATTTCTGGCTGCTGGTGGAGTTCAGATTGCCATTAGCTGAATGCTGCTGGATTATCAGTCACTGCAACACCACACCGTTGTGTCCACTGCTTTCCTGTGTCTGTCAGTCTCCAGGTACCCCTCTGCTGTTGTTCTGTCCTCTCCTATTTCCTGGAATGTGTCCTCTCCGCTTCATCCTGATTAAATGTTTCTCTGTCTGTTTAAACGTGTCCTTACCCTATTCTGCCATCTTTATTCTCCCCTGCATTCGTTAGTTTTAATTGTTATTGTGCACTCATGTATGTAATTCTCAGGGGTTTTCTATTAGAAGACAATGTCATCTGTGAACAGAAATAACTCCTTCCTTTCCAATTTGGATATCTTCTATTTCTTGCTTTTACTGACCAACGTATGTGTTTAGGACTTCAAAAATGGTCTTAGAGGAATAACTTTCAGTATTTTGGCCTAAAGTATGACACAGGTTTTCACATTAAGGAACTGTCCTCTTCCTAAGTGTTTTGTTTGTTTTGTTTTTTGTTGTTGTTTTTTGATTGCTTGCTTGTTTTACCATTAAATGATATTAATTTTATAGCATATCTTTTCTGTTTCATTTGAGGATGTTCTGTTCTGTTAATTTCCAGTCATTTTGTTAATTTTGTGTTTTATACTGATGGACTTACACATGTTGAATCACCTTTGCACTCTGGAAATAAATTCGTGATCTATAAGATTCTTAGCATTGCCTGAAGTTCTGTTTGCTAGTATTATGTTGAGGTGTTTACATCAATAATTCATGTGTTGCTTTGCAGTTTTTTGCAGTGCTGTAGTCTGACTTCAGTGTCAGCGGGATGCAGGCATCCAAACGCGAGTTGAAAGCCGTTTCTTCCTGTGTTGTCTAGGAGATTGTATGAGTAACTTGAGCATTCAATCCTTGATCGCCACACTGTTTGTTAACGAGCGATACTCTTCATCATCTGACTTGACAGAATTTGCTTCTGCTCTCCTGTGATCCTAACTTAAATGTTAACTTTCTGAAACAGTATCATTTCCTACATCAAACGCCAATAGAAGTAGACAGAGGCTTACACCTACATGCAGATGTAAAAGTTACAAAAGTAGGGTGACAAAAATTCAGCTTTGCTGTACTGACACTGGACATTATCGACACTGATGCGGTGTTTCCCAAATGGTTTTTTACAAGTGGAGAAATTTTGAATGCCATCTTTACTGTTGATGTATATAGTATTATTATTTCTGAAAATGTCAACATATAATTCAGTTTATTGAGGTTTCTTAAATTTACTTCGGTAAATTTGTTTAATTCCCACCAAGAGAATTTGTTAACACATTATTCTGTCTTTTTCTTTAGGACATTAATACACAACTGAACCACATCATGAACAGTGTGCAACGAATAATGTCTCGCTACGGTTCGGATTTTCCCTTGCAGTCTGAAAGGGCTCTCTCCCTTAAAGAACGTATGAAAAACCAGAGAACCATGTTTTTGGAGAAAATGGCTTCCTACGTCAGGAATGTTGAAATGAGAGACAATACACTTACCTATATTCTGGCCTGGTTGGAAGAATGGAGTAAGTTTCCAGAAGAGGTCAGGAGAAAAACACAAAGTTAGAGAGTGTATAAGTAAAGCAGACAAGAAAAAGAAGTTGTTCAGAAAGTGGCTGTCCTCTTTTCCATAAGAATAAAGCGAGAAAAATAGATTTGCCCTCTTGATGCCCATTATTCTGGAGTCCTTGCTCTTCTTCCAGCACGTTAATGATGCCCCTACCCAATGTCATGAGGTTTGCTGTTTCCCCACGAAGAACATATGATTCATCGACAGCCACATCACTTACTCCTTGTGTGTCACTTTGAAATATGGTGTTCTCTGATCATCCCATTCCCCATCGCCTGACACTCTCCATTAAGCTCTACCTTAATTTTTGTCTATCATTAGTACCTAAAATACTAGATTGCTTTTTATTTCTATTTTTTGCCTATCTGCTTTCATGGGAATGCAAGCTGTAAGAAGCTAGGAAGCTTGTTCTTGTCAATGCTTCACTGGCAGCAGCTGTAGCAATACTCATATGAATAAACACTGGTTGAATTAAAGAATGAATAACCTAAGAGCATATATTTTTTTAAATTAGGTTGATTTACTGAAAGGTGAAGTGACAGAGAAGGGAAAAGAAAACAATATGTGTATATATATATATATATCTTTCATTTGCTGATTTACTCTCCAAATGATCACTACACCTAGATCTGGGCCTGGTCTCCCACGAGGCTGCAAGGGGCATACGCACTTGGGCCATCACCTAATGCTGTCCCAATTGCCTTAGCAGCAGGCTAGATTGGAAGCAGAGCAGTTAGATCTCAAATTATCACTCTAATATGAATTGCCATCATTGTTAAATAGCTACTTAACCCACTGTACCACAGTCCAGCCTCAATAATATCTCTGTGTGTGTGTGTGTGTGTGTGTGTGTGAGTGTAAGGCAAATGAAGCCACTGCTGCCATGCAAACATTGCATATGACCGTGAATTTGGCTGCTCCACTTTTTGTTCTTGTTGTTAAAGATTTATTTATTTTTATTGGAAAGGCAGATATACAGAGAGGAGGACAGACGGAGAGGAAGATCCTCCGTCTGATGATTCACTCTCCAAGTGACCACAACGGCCAGAGCTGAGCCAATCTGAAGCCAGGAGTCAGGAGCTCCTCTGGGTCTCCCACATGGGTGCAGGGTCCCAAGGCTTTGGGCCATCCTCGACTGCTTTCCCAGGCCGCAAGCAGGGAGCTGGATGGGAAGCAAGGGTGCTGGGATTAGAACGGGGGACCACATGGGATCCCGGCGTGTGCAAAACGAGGACTTTAACCATTACGCTATCGCGCCAGGCCCTGCACCACTTTTTTTCATTGTTTTTGTTTGTTTGTTTGTTTTTGGATTTTTTTTTTAATTTGAAAGGCAGATTTTACAGAGAGAGAAGGAGAGACAGAGAGAAAAGGTCTTCCATTCACTGGTTCATTTTCCAAATGGCCACAATGGCTGGAGCTGAGCTGATTTGAAGCCAGAAGCCAGGAACTTATTATGGGTTTCTCACATGGGGGCAGGATATAAAGGACCCAGGCCATCTTCAACTACTTTCCCAAACCATAAGCAGAGAGCCGGATCAGAAGTAGAGCAGCTGGGACATGAGCCAGCACCCATGTGGGATGCTGGCCCTGCAGGATGCAGGATTAGTGAGATGTGCCACCACGCCAGCTCCTTGTGCCACTTTTGACCCAGCTCCTACCCACGTGTGAGACCCAAACAACACTGTTGGCTCCTGGCTTTAGCCTGGCCCAGCTCTGGCCATTGCAGCCATTTGGGGACTGAACCAATGTTGGGGTGTGTGTGTGTGTGTGTGTTCCTCTCTGTAACTCTGCCTTTCAAATAAGCAAATAAGTTTGTTTTTTAAAAATCAGTTATTTGATGGCAGCACGTTTGGTGCTGTAACAGAAGAACAGATGTAACTGGACAACTACCCCAAACAAAGGATGACAGCAAAACATCTCGGTGAATGGAGTCAGTGGACACTGGGAGGGTGACATCATCCTCGGATCGGTGAAATCGGCAGCATTCCAGAACTATCCAAGCCACTTGGACAGAACCCTCGGAATATGCGCACATGGAGACTCTGGGTTGATATGAGGTGGCGGTTCCTCATCCCTGGGCACTGGGAACTGTGGAAAGTCATGAGTGGTTTCCTCCTTTGTCTCTCACCTTCCCCCAGGAACAACAAGAAGAAATAGCAAATTTGGAAGCAATGAATTCACCCATTTTTCCCCAAACCTCTATCCTTCTCACTCTGATCAATCGTGTAATCATTAAAACATAATAATAATAAGTAATAATCGTAAAATTGAAAAATCAGTTATTTGAAATAGTTAAAAATCACAAATAAAAAAGGAATTTTACTTTTTTAAGGGAAATTTTACGTAATGGGACAAGAAAACACTAAAACACTAACACAGGGGCAGTGTTCAGGCACAGCGGGTTAAGACATCGCCTGCAACGCTGGCATCCTAAAAGAGCACTGATTTGGGTTCCAGCTGCTGGCCTTCTGATCCAGTTCCATGCTGATGTGCCTAAGAAAGCAACAGATGAACCAAATTCTTGGATCCCTCTCACCCACATGGAAGACCCAGATGGATTCCCTGGCCCCTGGCTTCAATCCTGCCCAGCATTGGCCACTGTAGCCGTTTAGGGAGCAAACTGGAAGATGAAAGGTGTGTGTGTGTGTGTGTGTGTGTGTGTGTGTGTATGTCCATTTCTCTGTAACTCAAACTTTAATAAAGATAAAATTTATTTTTAAAAATACTAATAACTTCTCAAAGGTGTTAATTTAGCTTGCGTTTCCCTGCTATAATCGCTAGGGATAGCGCTTTGGACACCCAGCATCGACACATGTACTCACATTTTAGACAACTACTTCCCTCAATTTTAGGAGCTAAGCCAAAGTGATACCTTAAGTTTGATTTGCAAGACTCACCTATCAGCAGCCTATTCCACATCTCCCTTCTTTGCTCTTTGTAAGAGAAAAGCCCCAGAATACCAGCAAGATAACTATACTCATATTCCTGAATGCTACCATTTATTCAGTAGTTACCCGATGTTATGACACTATATGGTTATCATTGGTGATTTGTAGGCACAAAAACACTCTTTTGCGCTTTTCCAGATGCTGTTTTGTCTGACATAACTGAAACGGATATTGAGGAACACTACCACTGGATCGTGCAGATGGAGCTGTTCCCAGACACGCTGAGAGCCATTGAGAACAACGTCAACATATTATGCCAAATCAGTACATCTTTGCTCAAAGAAAAGAAGAAACAGAAGAAAAAGGCATGTAAGTGTGCTTTCTAATTTTGCAAATGGGGTTTTCTTTTTCCCCCAAATGAAGTTTTCTTGACGTGCAATTGTATATCATACGACTCATGTTAAATATTCAATGCAATGATTCACGTGTTAGAGTTCTGCAGCAATCGCCGCAATCCAGTTTCAGAACATCTTCATCATTCCTTGCATTCTTTTGCAACTCACCCTCATTCCCATTTATTTCTCCAAATATTCTTCCGTCTGCAGATTGGCTCTGTATTGATATCTCATATAAATAAAATCATTTCATTATTTATATATGCTGTATTTCAGTTAGCATGATGTTTCTGAGGTTTATCATGTTACGGACTTATCAGTAGATTTCTCTTTCCTTTCTATTATTATTTGTATGTGAGTGTTTATACATTTTTGGATCTATTCACTAGTTCTTAGAGATTTGGATTGCTCCCTGTGTTTGGCCTTTATGAATAACGCTGCTATACATGACCATGTATAAGTCCTTACGTGGATAAGTATTTTCACTTAATAGGGGCAGATATTTCTGGCTAGAAGTGCTGATAAATTTAACTTTTAAAGCAACCACCAGCTGTTCCATTGTGACTTCATCATGTTACATTGCCACCAGCAACATGTGAGCTCTACTTTTATATACCTTCTTCAATGCTGTCATTCTCTGTCGTTTCCCTTTGTTCTACTAGATGCAACGTGGGTTCTCATCGGGATTTTAGCTTGCGAGACCTACTGTAATCTCTAGGGACAATGATGTACCTCTTTTCATGAGATTGTCATCCATTCCTATATTTTTGGGTGAATTATCCAGTCAGTGCTTGCTCATTTGTATCACTGAGTTTGTAGATTTCTTTATATCTTCTGGATATAAGTTCCTTATCAGAAAAGTGATTTGTAATTATTTTTCCCAGACTGTGGCAGGTCTTTTATTATTTTTTTAGTGGTGACTTTATAACCCATAAGTATCAATATATCACTTATTTCTTTTAAAAATAGTAGCATTTTATTTAGAACTTGTATTAGGGTGCAACAAGAGAAAAGCAGAACTAATAATCTATAATCATATTCCACTATAAGTGGGGAATATATAATAATTTGACTTAGCAAAGCTTGTTTTTAAGCCTACCATGTGGCCTACCCCAGAGAATGTTCCATGTACCCTTGAAAAGAATGCATATTTTGCTGTTGCTATGTGGAGTATCCCAAAATTGGTTTCCATTGTTCAGTCTTCTATATCTTTACTTACTTGCCCACCCATTCTTCTAGCGAGAAATTGAATTCCCCAACTCTTATTATCACTGAGTTATCCGTGTCTCCCTTGGATTCTACCAGCATTTATTTTATGTATTTCAGGGCTTGGTGGTGTATGTGTGTGATCATTATGGTTTGCTGATGAAGTGACACTTTATCATTATGAAAGGATCATTATTTTTGTATTAAAGTTGTAGATGAGAGTGAATTAAGGTTATGGTTGTGTTGACATTCTTCATCATCTAGAATTAGATGTTCTAGCTGACTGCAGAAAAAGCAGACTTCTTTTAAAATGTTTTCTGATCAATCTTTAATCAAGAGTTATCTGCTGTGCTAAGTTTTCTTTTTTTTGAGTGCAGAATACAGCACAAAAAGTAAGTGTAATCTCATTGGTTTTTTTTCCCAGTATCTAGAGGTGCTCTGTGGAAAACTTGGAAAGAAAGAGCTATAAAGAGACCTGCAACAATCCATGCCTTAAGACCAGATCAGATGATTGCTGATCAATTTGCTGTAACTACAAAAGTTACAGAAATTCAAACTATGCTGCAAGAACTCACGGGCAGTGGGATATTCAACAAAATGGAAAACAACGCTATCAAGTACATATCATCAACAATACTAAACCTCTCGAAAGCTTTGACCACCATAAACGATGAATTAAAAGCTATTAACGTGCAAAGTAGCAGTATGTTTGTAGAGACATATGAAACAGAAAAAGAAGTCTCTCAAAAGATGATTCATGACCTGAGTGAGCAAAATGAAATGCTTCAGCAGAAATTGCAGGCGGTAGAAGAAAACTACGAACAGCGCATTCAAGTCAAAGACGCGAGAGCGCCCAGAGAACATACGCCATTGCCCGCGTCTCCAGCCATCGCCAAAGATGGTGACCGGGACGACAGTCTGAGTGCCATTTTAGACTATGAATTTAAAGACATGCTAGAGAAATTCAAAACAAAAGAGCCGAGTGCGCCTGGGAAAAAGTGGGACGCTGCTCTTCCAAGTACATTCCCGGATGACACAAGCCCAGATGTAGCTGAGCGACACCGCCTCTCTCAGGAAAAGCAGCAAGGGCCTTCCAGGCTTTCTGGAGAAATTCCTGCAGATAAAATAGCACTGGATAAAGAAGATGTCCATCCGAAAGCTGGGAGTGATCAGTATGAGTCACTGCCAGGAAAGCATGCCAAAGGGTCCTCTAGAGCCAGGCTGTTGGAGGACAAAGGTGAAGACAGAGTGGCAGGGCTCACACCTGACCAGCACGCCGCACCACAAACACCCGAAAAGAACAGAAGAGAAATGAGCCCGTTCTCTGAAGTCCAACCAAAGACATCCCCTGATTCAAAGAGACAGCCCTTCCCTTCCACTGAGACCAAGAGCCAGGATGGCAGGAGTACAACAGGTGGTATGCCAGAAAAGCACAGAAAACCACCAAGTCAACCCTTAGCAGGCAAGAGCCCTATTCTGCAAGAGGATATTGAGCCGGCAGACAAACATGGGGAAAGTGAAGCCAGCAGCTTCTCAGAGTCCCTCGGAATGACTCAGCTGAAACACACAGCTGAAATCGAAGCAAAGACACAACCAACCGCTACAAGCGCTAGCGTAGGCAAAGAAGGGAAAACCAAGGACAAGTCTCCCAAGGCTGATAAAACATACTCCAGGAGAGCCAGAGTGGCTCCAGAATCTGTCAAAGATCTGGATGCTTCCGAGAGTGCAGGTGAACAGAGTAATACAGAAGCTTTTCAAAAAGCCATAATGACTTTCCTGAAACAGAAAATCGAAAACATCCGGAAGCCGTCTGACCGCCAGGCCATGCGGCCGGAGGAGGACGAGTCCCTAAAGACGACAGAAACAGAACAATTGGGGATGATAAAGGAAAAGATAGAGGAATATTTCCAAAATGTGACTGACATCGTTACTGAAATCCTGAGGAAATATAAACAACAGTTTGCACAGAAACCTGTGACATCCAAAAAGGAAGTTTCCTTTAAGCCAGAAACATATTATCAGAAGCTATCAACTAGTGCCAAGTCTGAACTTCGCACCTTCCTCTCAAATGACAGCGTTGACCCTATGATTAAAAATTTAATACAAACCATCTTAGCTGAACTAGAAAGTCAAAGGGATACCACCCCACCCTCAATAGCAGAGAAAGATCATGAGAAGGAAACGCAAAGCCCGAAGGAATACTTGCAAGAGAATCAAGAGGAAACATATGAGGAAGTGAGTCCCCCCAAGAAGAACCGTAAGGCAACAAACAAGAACTTGAGGAAGAAAAAGAAGTCGTCACAGGAGGAGGAAGAGGAGGAGGAGGGGGAGGGGGAGGAGACCCAAGGACCGGAGAGGCGGAGGCCAGGAGGAGACGGAAGGGATCAAGGGCAGACGGAGGAGGATGAACCGCAGAGGCGCAGGGCAAAGCGGAAAGAAGAGCCCAAATCCTCGCAGCTGCAGGAAGCCCAGAGGCACAAGGCGAGAGAGGACAGAGAGAAGCAGAAGGAGTATGAAGAGACCAGGACTCGGGTTCCCAGGGCAGCGAGACACCAGGAGCTGAGAATAACAGGGAAGAGAGAGGGGAGGCAGAAGCCACGGCTGGAGCCCCTTGACAGGCAGAGAGAGCACATGGAAGAGGATCACAAGCTGGAGGAGAAAAGATATGAAGAGCTGTTGAACGCGGAGGCCCAAACTCCTCTGAAGTCAGACGGACCTCCAGCTCCCCAAGGAAGTAGGCCCACAGGATATTCACAGATTCCTCCACAGACAATACAGTCCCTATCAAGCATCCCTCCCACATCTCCCCAGGCCTCACCAAATGCACCCCTTCCCATTTACCAACATGCTTTCCTGAAACAACAAGCCCCCATTGCCAGCGAGACCCAGGCTCCGATGCCCACTCCAACTCCTAAGGGAGTCTACACCCGGGGGACCCCTCTGATGCCTGCACAGCTCCAGCCCCTGAGGCCCACTCTAGCTCCTCAGGGAGTCCAGGCCATGGGAACTCGTCTGACCCCTGCACAGCTCCAGGCCCTGATGCCCACCCTAACCCCTCAGGAAGTACAGGCCCTGGGGACCGCCATGACCACTCAGCAGCTCCAGGCCCTCATGCCCACCCTAACTCCACAGGAAGTCCAGGCCTTGGGAACTACTCTGACCACTCAGCAGCTCCAGGCCCTGATGCCCACTCTAATCCCTCAGCAGGTCCAGGCCCCGGGGACCACTCTGACCCCTCAGCAGGCCCAGGCCCTGGGGACCACTCTGACCCCTCAGCAGGCCCAGGCCCTGGGGACCACTCTGACCCCTGCACAGCTCCAGGCTTTGATGACCACCCTGACTCCTCAGAAAGTTCAGGACATAGGGGCCACTCTGACCCCGGCACAGCTCCAGGCCCTGATGTCCACTCTAACTCCTCAGGAAGTCCAGGCTCTGGGGACCACTCTGACCCCTCAGCAGGCCCAGGTCTTGGAGACCACTCTGACTCCGGCACAGCTCCAGGCTCTGATGCACACTCTGACCCCTCAGCAGGCTCAGGCCCTGGGGACCACTCTGACTCCTCAGCAGGTCCAGGCCCTGGGGACCACTCTGACGCCTCAGGAAGTCCAGGCCCTGGGAACTACCCTCACCCCTCAGCAGGCTCAGGCCCTGGGGACCACTCTGACTCCTCAGCAGGTCCAGGCCCTGGGGACCACTCTGACGCCTCAGGAAGTCCAGGCCCTGGGAACTACCCTCACCCCTCAGCAGGCTCAGGCCCTGGGGACCACTCTGACCCCTCAGCAGGCTCAGGCGCTGGGGACCACTCTGACTCCTCAGCAGGTCCAGGCCCTGGGAACTACCCTCACCCCTCAGCAGGCTCAGGCGCTGGGGACCATTCTGACCCCTGCACAGCTCCAGGTTCTGACGTCCACGCAAACACCTCCGGAAGTTCAGGCTCAAGGAACACCTCCGACTGCTCAGCAGGCCCAGGCCCTGGGGACCACTCTCACCACCCAGGAGCTCATGGCCCTGATCTCCACTCCAGCTCCTCAGGAAGTCCAGACCCTGGGGACCGCTCTGACCGCTCAGCAGGCTCAGACCCTGATGACCACTCTCACCTCTATACAGAATGAAGCTCTGGAGACTACTCTTGCCACTCAGCAGGCCCACACAGAGGACACCACTCTGATCCTACCTCAGGTGGAAACCTTGGGAACAGCTCCGACACCTCAGCAGGCCCAGGACCTAGGGACAGCTTTGTCCCCACCACAGGCTAAAACCTTGGGGAAAACGGTGACTACTCAGCAAGCCCAGACCCTGACAACCATGCTAACTCCTCAGGAAGTCCAGGTTCAAGGAACACCTTTGACTCCTGAGCAGGCCCAGGCCCTGATAGCCACTCTGATCCCCCAGCAGGCCCAGGCCCTGGGAACCACTCTGACAACTCAGCAGGCCCAGGCCCTGATAACTACTATGACCCCTCAGCAGGTCCAGGCCACGATGACTGTCTTGACTCCTCAGCAGGCCCAGGTCTTGGGAACCAGTCTACTTCCTCAGGAAGTACAGGCTCCAATGGCTACTCAGACTCTTCAGCAAGCCCAAGTCCCAGGGACTACTCTGACTCCTCAGCAGGCCCAGGTCTTAGGCACCAGCTTAACTCCTCAGGAAGTCCAGGTCCTGATGACCACTCGAACTCCTCAGGAAGTCCAGGACATGGAGAACACTCTGACCCCTCAGCAGGCCCAGGCCCTGATGACTGCTCTGACCCCTGAGCAGGCCCAGGTGTTGGGAACCAGTCTAACTCCACAGGAAGTACAGCCATTGGGAACCACTCTCACCCGTGAACAGGTCCAGGTCTTGGAGACCACTCTGACCCCTCAGCAGGCCCAGGCCCTGGGGACTACTATCACCCCTCAGCAGATCGAGGCTCTAGAGACCACTCTGACCCCTCAGGAAGTCCAGGCCCTGGGGACCACTCTGACCCTGCAGCAGGTCCAGACCCTGGGGACCACTCTGACACCTCAGGAAGTCCAGGCCATGGGAATCACTCTGACCCCTCAGCAGACCCAGGCCCTGGGGACTACTATCACCTCTCAGCAGATCGAGGCTCTAGAGACCACTCTGACCCCTCAGGAAGTCCAGGCCGTGGAGACCACTCTGACCCCTCAGGAGGCCCAGGCCCCAACAACCACTCTGATCCCTCAGCAGGTCCAGGCCCCAATGACTACTCTTGCTACCCCTCAGCAGGTCCAGGCTCTGGGGACCACACTGACTCCTCAGCAGGTCCAGGTCTTGGAGACCACACTGACTCCTCAGCAGGTCCAGGTCTTGGAGACCACTCTGACCCCTCAGCAGGTCCAGGCCCTGGGGACCATTCTGACTCCACAGCAGGCCCAGGCCCTGGGGACCACTCTGATGCCTCAGGAAGTCCAGGCCATGGGAACACCTCTGACCCCTCAGGAGGCCCAGGCCCCAATGACTACTCTTACCCTTCAAGAGACCCAGGCCGTGGGGACTACTATCACCCCTCAGCAGGTCCAGGCCCCAACAGCTACTCTCGCTATCCCTCAGCTGGTCCAGGCCATGGGAACACCTCTGACTGCTCAGCAGGCCCAGGCCCTGGGGACCACTCTGACTCTTCAGCAGGCCCAGGCCCTCGGGACCACTCTGACTCCTCAGCAGGTCCAGGCCCTGGGAACCATTCTGACCCCTCAGCAGGACCAGGCCCCAATGCCTACTCTTACCCTTCAAGAGACCCAGGCCGTGGGGACTACTATCACCCCTCAGCAGGCTCAGGCCCCAACAGCTACTCTCGCTACCCCTCAGCTGGTCCAGGCTCAAGGAACCACTCTGACTCCTCAGCAGGCTCAGGCCCTGGGAACCATTCTGACCCCTCAGCAGGCCCAGGCCCCAACAACCACTCTAACACCTCAGCAGGCCCAGTCCCCGATGACTATTCTCGCTACCCCTCAGCTGGTCCAGGCTCAAGGAACACCTCTGACCCCTCAGCAGGCCCATACCCTGGGGACCACTCTGACGCCTCAGGAAGTCCAGGCCCTTGGAATCCACCTTATCCCTGAGATACTACTGGACTTGGCTGTGGCACTTCCACGTGAGCAGGCCGTTGTCACTCCAGAACCAGCCCCAACACTGAGATTCCCTATTGTCCCTCGGCTTACTCAGACACTGAAGGCAGCTGGCACTTTGCAGATCCAGGAAGGGCAAACCCCACTTCCTGTGAAACAATCTCAGCTATTCAGGTTCCCCAGACCTCAAGAACAGACTGAGGTGGCCCAAGCAACTGGGGCCACCCATGCTCCCATGCCGGTTCCAGCGATGGCGCCCCCTGTCACTTTTGTTCAGGGACACTCCTTAGAAATCCCTCTCACCCCTGAGCAATTTCCAGTGTCTGGTGTTCCTCCCGCTCCAGGGCAATCCCTGGAGCTGGAGGCTGTCAGTTCTAGGCAGTTATTTCCGGCCAAGCATCCTCAGACCCCCTGGATGCCCACAGTATTGAAGGCCCCTCTCACACCCTGGCACACACTCAAATCTGAGCTCCCACCCCTCTCTGGAAAGAGTTCAGGGCACTGGGTTCCCCGCTCTCCTCAGCAGCCCTTGGCTCCTGGGGCCTCTTCCATCCATGGAGAACTCTTGGAAGCTGGATCCCCAGCCCTCTCAGGGCAGCCTGCTTTCCTGCCCTCTGTCACTGCTGGGAAGCCTCCCGCTCTACTGGCCCCTTCTGCCCTTGGGCAGCATCTGCCCAGGCAAGCGTCCCCTCCCACCTCTGAGCACCTGCAGATCCCCTCAGTTGCTGAAAAGCTCCCCAAGAGCTTGGCCTCTTCTGACAGGAAGAAAAGATTTCCATCCATTCCCTTTCTGAAATCTCAGTCATTGCTGGCCCAACCCAGTGTTTCAGGTTTGAAGACAATTCAAGATCCTTTCAGCAAGAGAAAGATCCAAATTTCAAATGTCTCAGACACCCCTGGAGAAACTCTAACGCTCAAAGATTCTTCAGCCACGGACTCACTTAGGACACTGCATTTTTATCCCATCAGTGACAGGGTACCAGTGTCACAAATCCCTGACTCTGATGAGAGGCCACCTCCCACGCTACAGAAGCCCAGAACAGCCCTGCCTCCTCTCACTCTGCAGCTATCCCGGACACCGCAGATGTCAGCCCCTCCAAGGGAGCTGAAATCAAGCTTCCCCTCCCTCGACGAGCCCTGGATAAAGACTTTAGCTTTAGGTAAAGAACGCGAGATGATGGTGCCTCCTCCCACTCCCCAAGAACCTGACAAGGTGACGTATTTTGTCAAGGTGGAGGCTCAGAGAAAGAATCTGATCCTCTTGAATCAAGCCATGCAAACACTGGGACTCCCTCCGCAGCTACTCACGATAGCTCGGAATCTCATCGTTGAACTACTCCGCACAGACGCAATCCGGCTGGGATTCTTCTTCCACAAGTACATTGCCTACAGGCTGATCCAGCGTGCGAGGTAGATAATTCTCTAGTTGTCTGGTTGTCATTTGCACCATTTTCTGGTGTGAGCCTCATCTCAAACGCCCTCATTCTAGAAGTGTATGCTTATTTATGTTCTGATACTTTTTAAGTTGGTTATTAGGTTTTTTGGTTTGTCTTATGGTTAAGTTTGGTTTTTTTTGTTTTGTTTTGTTTTTAAGATTTATTCATTTTATTGGAAAGGCAGATATACAGAGAGGAGGAGGAGAGAGAGAGGAAGATCTTCCATCCGATGATTCACTCCCCAAGTGTTTACAATGGCCGGTGCTGCGCCAATCCGAAGCCAGGAGCCAGGAACTTCTTTCTGGATCTCCCACGCGAGTGCAGGGTCCCAAGGCTTTGGGCTGTCCTCAATTGCTTTCCCAGGCCACAAACAGGGAGCTGGATGGGGAGTGGAGCTGCCGGGATTAGAACCGGCGCCCATATGGGATCCGGGGCGTTCAAGGAGAGGACCTTAACCATTACACTATCGCGCCGGGCCCAGTTAAGTTTGATTCTACACTTTCTATTCACTTTTTATCCCTATAAGGTTGCCCCTGAACTTAATACAAAATAATCTACTTTTCTCGCTACTGATTTAAATGCACATTTATCATAAACCTTTGTATATTTGGGACTAAAGAGGGACTTTTAACTGTTTCCTATTGATCCTTTGATGCATCCCTTCCATGCTATGTTATTTATTGAAATTTCTTCAAAGAATGCCTACTTTAATTAGAGAAGCAGTTGGGGGGCCGGGGAGACCTCCCATCTGCTGGTTCACTCCACATACTGCTTGCAGTCGGCTGAAGTCGAGAGTACAGGGTTCCATCCACCTGGTGATGGGGACTCAGCTATGGGTCTATCACTTACAGCCCGACATGGTACACGTAACTGAAGAACTAGAATTGGGAGCAGGGCTAAGACTCACACCCAGGCACTCCAAATGGGATATGGGCATCCTAACTGGTTTCTTAACTGCTCAACCAAGCACCCACCCTTGGGATTTTAGTTTTACGGTGCTGAGCCTTTGCAGTAGTCATTATTGCTGCTTTCCCACAACTGTCAATGAGGTATGAACATGTCACTTCCGGTGCCGAGCTTGTCATTGTTGCTTCGAGACCCTCTAGGATGTCCTTTTCTTCTGGTGGGATAACCTGAGCTGTGCAAAGTAGTGGCTATTCTGCTAGCCTTTGTCCCTATGAGAGAAAGTTTGCTTTCTGCCAGCAGTGATGGGCGGGTCAGTTGTATCATCACCAAGTAAGCTTTTAGGATTTGGGAAATTACTTGTTAGAACACAAAAACCTAACTCATCTTCATAAGGTCTTCCTTGTGAAGGCTGCCAGCTCACTTGAGGCAAGAGGACTCCAACACGGAGTAGCTGAGATGAACTGTCACTGTAATATGGGGTATGCATCTCCCAAGCAGTGGCTTACCACACGGGGTCAAAATGCCCACTTTGGGGCCAGTGTCATGGTGTGATGAGAAAGGCCACTGCCTGCCAACTCCAGCGATTGATGTGGGCACCAGTTCATGTCCTGTATGAATAGGAAAATGTAATGGAGGATGATCCAAGTGTTTGAACCCCCGCAACCCACATCCCGCCAGGCAGAACTTGTCCACCATCCCAGTGTTGGTCAGCTGATGCTGCAGCAAGGCCCAACCAGCCTGCACCCTCTCTGGACCATGCTTGCATCAGGGGATACAGTCACTTAGCCCAGCCTGACTCTTCTCCAGTCCAGCTCACATGCAGGCCAATAGGTATTATAACCCTGCCTAGTCGTATCTGCCCCATTTCCAGTACTAATGCTCATCAGTGGGAGCACAGACCCAGCACGAGAACCCCTTTCAGCCTCCCTACCAGGCTTACTCCCCTCCCCCGGGTCTCACATGTGCTGGTAGGTGCTGTGGCCCAATCTGGTATGGCCCACCTCACCTCAGCATTTGCTGGCAGGTACTTTAGTCTGGCCCAGCCTACCCCCATTTCCAGTTCATGCTAGTAGGTGCTGCCACCTAGCCCAAACCAGCCAGCCCCCAGTCCCAGCCCTAATGTGGACTGGCTAGTGGTATGGCCTGACTCAGACTATCCTGCATCCCATCCCGGTTCTCACATCTGCCAGTGGGTATTATGAACTGGCCCAGACCTGTCCCACATGTATGCCACAGGTACTGTCACCTTGGGTTTCTCCCAACCTTGCTTGTTGCACTCACCTACAGGAACTATACAAAGGAGTTCCCCAAGAATCTCTATTAGGTCTCCTCCAAGTGGCAGATATCACACACACCCATGGGTCCTTGGCCCAGACTGACTTAGTCTACCTCCTGTCTTGGCAGGAACAGTGGCCTTGCCCAACCAGCCCTCAACTGTTTGGTTCTTACTGTTGGGTGTAACAGCCCAGCCACATCTATTCCACACCCAGATACAGCTCTCATTTGATTCAGCAGGTGCCAAGACCTAGTCCAGCCCATCCTACACCCACCCTGGCTCTTGTGAGTACCAATGAGTGCTGGTGTCTAGCCCAGTCTGGTGTACCCTAAACCCAGTCCACATCCATGCCAAGGGATACTGCAGTCATGTCCAGTCTGGAATGCCATCCCCATTCTGACTCTTGAACTCACCAATGGGAACCACCACCCAGCTGGGGTGTCTCCTTAGTTCCCCAACCAGGCTCAGCATAGCCCATTCCCCATCTTGGCCTTTACCATTAGACACTGCTCCCATCAGGGGAGTTTTCCAAGTTGCCCCACCAGGTCCGTTCTAAGATCCAGACCTCACATATGGTGGTAGGTACTAGGCCCTTATGGAGTCTGCCCCACTCCATCCCAGCCTTTGTATGAGCTGGTGGGTGTTGCAGCCCAACTGGTCCTATACCCTACTCTTAGGTATGCCTATGCATGCTGCAGCCTGGGCCTGCCCAGCCTGTTCCTAACCCCAGTACCCATGAATGTTGGTGAGTTCCATGGTCATGCCTAGTTCAGCCTGTTAAACTCTTAAGCAAGCCAATGGTAATTGCAGTTCCACAGGGGTGGGCCCACATACCCTCACACAGAATCTGCCTCAGACTTGATTCTCTCACTTGTTAGTGTCATGGCCTACCCTAACATTACCCATCCCCTGTTCTGACTCTCACTGGTAGATACTGTGATCTAGTCCTGCCAGAGAGGCCCCCAGCTCTAGCTTTAGTGAATTATTGGGTGGTGGTCAACTGTAATTCATGCTAACTAGGCTAGCTGAGATCTCCAATACAGGCTGGTGAATCTGTCTGACCCATGAAAGTCCTGCGGTTTCCCCCCCTCCAACCCGCTGTCATGGCCCTCTCTCTTACCTGCAAGTACTTTGTTGATGGGAGTCCCTCTGAAGTTATTCCTTGCCTGCACTATATTCCCTCAGCGGTCTTCCCTCCCACACATCTCCTTACCCCTCTCCCATCAATCATGGACCACACATGTGGGGAGATCCCCAGGATCACTCCACCTGCCTAGACACAAAGATCCAGTTATCCACACACCCCTGCTGGCACCTGCCTCAGGTCACCCACAAGTCCACAGCCACAGACTCCTATGAGTGCAGGGCTGGGCACACACACCATGGGCAGCCAGCCTCCTTGGCAACTGCTTGCCACAGAGTGTGGGCCTGGGCCAATCCAACCAGCTTATATGGCAGCTGTCAATTGTAGAGGTTGAGGCCCAAGGGCAGACCCTTTGAGCCCTGTGGTCAGCCAGCCCACATGGAAGTATCCCCTCTCTCTCTCCCTCCCTCCCTCCCTCTCTCCCTCCCTCCCTCTCTCTCTCTCTCTCTCTATATATATATATATAACTTTCTAATTAACTAAATGTTAAAAAGAAAATGCCCACCTCATCCAATACTTAATGTTATTATAAAATCATAAACACATGTAAAATGGTATAAAACATTGACTAAGATTTTATAACAAGGATGGCTAGGTAAAGAAAATTCTAAAAGTATGTGTGTGAGAAAACATTATAATATGAACTTTTTTGAACCTTTGTAAGTAAATGCTACCACATGTTTTGGAGGGCCATCATTTGGCACTGCAGTTAGGTACCACCTGGATACCCCAGGGAGGAGTGCCTGGTCCAGTCCTGGCTCTGCTTGCAGTGCCAGCTTCCTGCTCACTGCCCTGGAAAGCAGCAGTCCACAGCTCTGGTAGTCAGGTCCGTGCCACTCATGACTGAGTTCCAGGATCTGCCTCTACTCTGCTGCAGCCCGCATGTTACAGGCATCTGAGGAACCAACCAGTACACGGAGGGGCTCTCCCTGCCACATCCTCTCTCTCTCTCTGTCTCGATATCTAAAAATTGAAAATATAGGGACAGTTGTATTCTTGCACAATTGGGAACTGTATCTGAAAAGGAACGACTGGGAGGATGTGAACTTCAGAAAATCAAATCATAATGAGATGTTTCATTATCATCCATCGGGGATAAAGTCCTCAAAGGAATTCAATGTTGTTGTGACTGAGCAAGATCAGCAAGTTCATCAACGCTCTTTGAATATCCACTCCTTGTGGCAAAGCATAGAAAGATGCAAAGACAGGTCAGACGCTTGCCTTTGGACAAGCCGCGGAAGCGCACTCAGACAGCTGGGAATGCATAGAGGACTGTAGGTCATCACACGGAAAGAGCAATGGTGGAAAATGCCCAAAGCACATAGAAGTGAACTGAGGAAAAGTTAGAGTCAGGTGACATTTCTTGGGGTTTGAACACACGAACAGTGTCTCAGAGAACCAGGAAAAGTCAGTGTTACAGAAGTCAGAATGTAACAGAGCAACGTAAGAAAGAAGCAGTGTGTGCATGTATGCTGCATGTATGTGAAGGTGTAAACTGCTGCTACTTCTGCTGGTAGAACAGAAAGAATAAAAAATAACACACACACACAAAAGCAAAATGTGGCAAGAAGCATGACTGGAAAGACAGAAGAGAATCCTAAATGCCACGCCAAGGAACATGTGATTCATTCTGTGCATAACGGAGAAAAATTGAAGAATTCTTGACTGGCGAAGTAAAATGCCATTCATGTGGAAGCGAGATTTACCATCAGTGAGGCTTGCGCGTGTAAGGGCTTGAGTTGGGCCCTGAGAGCATCCACCCAGGACCTCGAGCGAATGTGAGGCTGAAAGAGGAATGATTGGTCTGATATTTGCTGTCATCCATCATGGTAACCCAACTTAGTGACTCCTACTTAAAAAGGGGAAGGTCGAAGACTCTTTCATTAAAAAGTAGAATCTCTGTACTCCTCAAATAATAAAAATCCACAGGCTAAAGGAAGCATGGGGTGAGCATTAGTGTAACACTTAGGGCGTTAGCATCTCATGTTGGAGTACTTGGGCTCAGCACCTGCTCTGGCTCCTAACTCCACCTTCCTGTTAAGGTGCACCCTGGGATGCACGTGAGCAAGCAATTCAGCTCCTTTTCCTCGGTGCGGGGACCTGAATTGAGGTTAGAGCACTGGGTTTTGCCCCAGTCCAGTCCCACCACGCAGGCATTTGAGGGTTGAAGCACCGGCTCCATCTGCCTAACAATCTCTCTCTCTCAAAAAAGATTAAAACAAATTTTTGTAAGAGGATCAAATTGGCCTACCCTAGAATTGCTTGAGGAAACATGGGCAATCTACATGAAAATAAATACTCAGATTTGGTCACCTACATAGCGTTACAAAGCATTTACAATAAGTAGGGACTCTAGATACATTATTACAATTTGAACCATGGATGAGAAACGGGGTCCAGAATGTTCACTTATACCCTAAGGTAACTGTTAGAAGGCAGTATAATTGAATATTTAAAACCCACTTTCAAAGCTCATACTGTACACACTATACTACATATTACATGGCCTTGAAGCAGGAAGCTTAAATAAGTTTATATTGAAACCTTTTATTATTATTATGATTACAAAGTCAGATATACAAAGAGGAGGAGAGACAGAGAAGAAGATCTGCCGTCCGATGATTCACTCTCCAAGTGAGCACAACGGCCGGTGCTGGGCCGATCCAAAGCCAGGAGCCAGGAACACTTCCCAGGTGGTGTTTCTCAAACAAAAAATTCAGCTAAAATTTAATAGTTTCACTGTATAATACATACTATACACATACATACAATGGTACTTCTAAATTTCATAGGAAATAGAGTTAGAAGCTTTCTTTGGTGCCCAAAAGTTTTTGTAGTTTATGGATAAGTCTTCAAAAAGTTCATGGGGAAAAATGCATACCAAGAAAAAAAACCAGGTATATATTTGACAATTTATACATATCGAGAAAAATACCTTTGGTGCTCTCTGTAACTTGCCAAATAAAATCCAAATTCTTTCTTTTGTAAGATTTATTTTATTTTTTTTTATTACAAAGTCAGATATACAGAGAGGAGGAGAGACAGAGAGGAAGATCTTCCATCCACTGGTTCACTCCCCAAGTGGCCGCAACGGCCAATGCTATGCTGATCTGAAGCCAGGAGCCAGGAACCTCTTCTGGGTCTCCCACACGGGTACAGGGTCCCAAGGCTTTGGGCCGTCCTCGACTGCTTTCCCAGGCCACAAGCAGGGAGCTGGATGGGAAGTGGAGCTGCCGGGATTAGAACTGGCACTCATATGGGATTTCAGTGTGTTCAAGGAGAGGACTTTAGCCGCTAGGCCACGGCGCCAGGCCCCACAAACACATGTTTTAACACCTTTCAAAATCCCTCCATTCTGTTCCCCCACCACATATTGTCTCGCTCCTTCATTCACCTGTGATGTCCCGGATTATTCCATCTCCCAAAACACAGCTGTCACTTTCTTTTCATAGTACACAGTGTATTCTTCATGCCCTTCTTTTCTGTTGGTTAGTATAATGGTTTTAAAACTTTCGGTGGTATTTACCTGAGATTTTGTTGAAGATGAAGATTCCTATTGCCAAGCTATTGCTTCAAAAGGTGCGGGGCGACACCTGGGGACTGCACTTCCAACAAGCACTTAATCCAGGCGATCAGGACCCACGCCCTGGGAAAGCCTTGCACTGGGGTTGTGGGAAGAGACACAGGTCCCAAATTTGCTATTTGTTAAATATGGAACTTAAAAAGTCTGTTAATTTGTCCATATTCATGTTCCAGATGGGTAGAGAGACAGAGGCAGTTGCATGATTCTTCTTCAAGATGCAGTTTGACACCTTCCTTTCAACTGTCTCTGTTGGCATCAGCGTTGGCATTGAGGCGCAAGCACAGGGTCCCTGCTCATGTGGCAGACCTGGCTTGAGTTCCTGTAGGCTCATGGCCTCGTCCATCGGTGCTTGCTTTTGGCATTTAGTGAAGTGAATCAGAAGATCTCTGTCTTTCAATTAAAATGGATATAAGTGTTCAAAACATTTATTTTAAAATAGTTATTTCTCTTGTGGGAACTGTTTTTCAGTTTGCTCATATGGCATTGTTTTATTTCTGTTTGCCATTTGTTTCAATTTTTAGCACGGCTTATTCATTAATCCCCCATTTGGATTATACACACTTTGGAAGCATACACAGTATCATTCTCTTAATTACATTAAACACATTCTTTGTGGATTACAATCTGCGATTCTTTTTAAGACACCTTTTAAGGTTTATTTCTTTGCAAGAGTCACAGAGAGGGACTGGTATACTCCCCAGATGGCCTTAGTAGCCATGACTGGGCCAGGTTAAAGCCAGGACCTTCATCTGGGTCTCCCACAAGGGTGGCAGGGGTCCAAACACATGGACCATCTTCTGATGCTTTTCCCAGGCCGTTATCAGGGATCTGGAAAGGAAGTGGAGCAGCCAGGACATGAACCAGTGCCTTTATGGAATGCTGACATCTCAGAATGCTGGCCCCTTGCATTGCAATTTTTTATTTATTTATTTTTTATTGATTACATTTCATTTTGTGACACTGTTTCATAGGCTCTGGGATTCCCCTAACCTCTCTCCGTGCCCTCCTCCCATGATGGATCGCATTGCAATTTTATAATCAAGTATTTTATTCCCTAGGACAGTTTTATTATAAGCATGCATTTTAACATATTCAAGTAATAAGCAATGCTTTTTAATGCTAAAAAAAAAAGCTGTAAAGAGTTCATGAAACTTCCGTAGTCATATAGACTACCCAAAGGTTATTCACAGAGGGTAGTAGATTCATATCTTATTTAGAAAAAAAGTTCCCACTCTCACCCCATGTCTACTTGGAAGGGATGTGAGAGAACTGAGAGAAATGGAGGACAGTTTTGCTGGAGTAAGTTCAATAACTATAGCCATCTAATTGTTAATTTTATTTTCAAGAAACAACATCATTCATCAAATAAAAGCCACACAAAATACAGGAAAAGGTTATGAGGCCAGGAACCTCCACATCATGCTGAGCAGAATTGATGACTATCAGAAGAAGATGATGCGTGCCTGGGCCGAGAAGCTCAAGTCCCTGGAGGAGAAACGAAACCAGTGCCTGGGGAAAATGACACCCTTGTTTACCCAGGTAAGCTACTGTCCTCTTTCTCGGTGTCTTGTCAACAACAACAACAGAACAAAATGCTAAGCTTTGGAAGTCGCACCAACCTGGGGAGACATTTATATGTTAGTTCTCTAGGCTGTCATAACAAATGAGCAGACTTGATGGTTGAAAACAATGTATGCTCTCACAGTTCTAGGAGCCAGGAATGTGGAAAACCAAAGTGCTGCAGGACTGAGTCCCTCTGCAGAAAATCTCTTAAACTACAGTGCCATTGGCAACCCTGGGCATTCCTTGGCGTGGAGCCTCTTTGCCTCCATCTTTCAAATGACCTTGTTTTCAGAATACGTTATGTCTTTTGTCTCATAGGTCATGACATGTCATTGGATTTAAGATCCAATGAAATCCTGGTGAATCCAGTGTGATCCTGTCTTGAGATCCTTAATTTAATCACATATGCAAGACATTTTCCAAATAAGGACTCATGCACAGGTTCTGGGTGGACGTATCTTTCAACCTGCTACCATATCAGGACCACTGACACTGCTAGACTGACAGTGGGAATACTGAGTGGATATCTGAGTAAGAGGGGGAAAATGAGACTCGGAGACAGTTTGAGAAATGTTCAGCTCCTTCCCGATCAATGCCAACCTACCAGACCACAGCAGTGAAACCTCCTGAAGTCACTGTCCCCTAGCTCTGCGTGAGTATCTTTCTTTGAAAGTCAGACAATCAACAGGTTAGGTTTACTCTCATGACCTTACAAGAAAAGGAGATGGCTTGTTTCTACAGCACAAGGCACAGATGATTGTTTTCAACTCTGACGTTCACCCATTATGTCCCAGAGCCCCTTCTCAGGCAACCAGCCCTCTGCTTTTTGGGGTAACATCAGCCTTCCAAAAAATGAGGGAGCTGAGATTAAACATCATTTTCCATATCGTTCTTTTTCTTCCTTTTAGTATTGTTTACATAACTGAGAGGGATGTATGCACATGTGGGCCTCCGACCACGGAGGGGAGGTTCAGGCACAGAGGGAATGAGTGAGACACATCTTTCAGTTTTGGTTTATTTTTTTTACCTCCTGTGTCCACATGGGGAGGCGGGAAAGAGAACCACTCCTTGCTATCAAACCACATCCGCACTTGGGAATGGGCAGATGGTCCTTTGATGATGCCTTGGAGACCCCAATGTGGGGAAGAACATTCCAAGGATGTTACTGGAGTGGTTTCAATAGCCCTGAGACAATGTCGGTTTCGTCACTCTGGGATAGAGCAAATCTTTCCAAGGTCTATGGGTTGACAAAGTCCACCTTGGCGTAGTCACAGAGCGAGGAACACGCTGCAAAACTTGGCCAGGAGAAGTGTCCGACCTCTTCTGCTTTCCATCCTCTGAAGAGGCAATTGACATTCCTCGCTGGCCTAGATGACCTGCCCATCATGGCCCCCATGTACATCTGCACATGCTGTCCACTGCACAGGCATCAGCAACTGAGGAGGCCCGTCCCAGTACACAGACTCCAAGATTGGGCCACATATCCCATTATGCTCCCTGTAGCCAGGGTCTGCGTCCAGTGGTCCAGCTTGGGCGTCTCCCCAACATACTTGGGGTGAGCTCAGACTTGACTCTTGTGTGTGCCAGCCAGTACAGAGTCAGGTTCATTCTGTCGCCTGCACCAGCCAATGCATAAAAGAGAGCTGCCTGGTCAGTTCCACTCCACAGCCACATATCTCACACAAACCAGTGGGTGCTGCAGCCCAGCCAGCCAGCCAGCCAGCCAGCCAGCCATCGACCCGGTCCTTACACATACCAGTGGGCACCATGGCCTAGTGAGGGTAATCCCCCAGTAACCCTCACCAGGCCTATCCCAGCCCTTGTTTTTGCACGTATCAGCTTCTGCTGCAACCTAGCCCTTCTGGCTCTTGTGTACACCCATGGGTGCTACAACTTAGCTCAGCCTTACTGACCCCCAGACCTCCTGGCCCTCATATATGCTGACAGGTGCTTCCACCTTGTCCAGCCTGACCTGTCCCCAGCCCCTGGTTCTCATGTTTACCAGCAATAGGAACAACCTAGCAAGGGAATTCCCACAATTCCCCTGACAGACATGTTCCTAGCCCTGGATCTTACACCTGCCAAGAGTACAGCAATCCAGCCTGACATAGCTTGCACCCAGTCCAGCACTTGCTAGCTGGTGCTATGGCCTAGGCTGGCTGGTCCACACCCCTTCTGGCTCTCATGTGCACCAGTGGGTGCAGCAGCCTAGCCCAATCTGCCCTGCCCCCAGACCAGCCTGCCTCTAGGCCCAGTTCTCACACTTACCGTTGGGAGCAGCAGCCCAGCAAAGGACTTGCCCAAGTTCCCCCCACCAGGCCCTCTCCCAGTCAAGGCTCCTGCGCATGCCAGCATGTGTCATGGCCCATTCTGAGATAGCCCGCCCCCAGTCTTGGCATTCAAGATACCAACAGATGCTACAACCTGGCTCATCCCAGCCTGTCCCAGCTCTCACTGGTGGGTGTATCAGCCTAGCCCAGCCTGGCCTGCACTCTATCCTGGCTCTCACTCATTCCATTGTGTGTTATGGACTGACCCACTCTCTCCTGCCCTTAGGCACAGCTGCAGTCCAGTCTGTTCTAGCCTGCTCCCAACCCTGGCTCTCGTGCTCACCAGCTGGAACTGTGTCTTGAAGGGGAGTTCCCTTAACAGGCCTGCTCCTATGTGGCTTTTATATGTGCCAGTGGGTGCTGCTACCCAGACTGACATGTCCAGCCCCCTAGTTCTGTCACTGCTGAAGACTACAGCATAACCCAACCAGCCTGCATCTATTCCAACTCTTACTGATGGGTGCTACAGCCTAGCCTGTCCCACACCCATCCTGGCTCTCATGATTGCCAGCAGGTGCTTCAGCATAGCCCAGTCTGGGCCATCCCCAGACCCTGTCCACATGCATGCCAAGGGTGCTACAGCCTTGCACAGCTGGGCTTGGCTCTCAGCCTGACCTGTCTGTGTCTAGGCCCAGCCCACACAAACACTGACAAATGCTGCAGACTTTCTTGGCCTGGCCTGCTCCCAGCACTGGCTCTAGAGCTCCCCACACTCGCTGCACTAGCCCCAGAGTGGGAGCTGCAGCTTAATGAGTGAGTTCCCCAAGTTCCCAGCCCTGAATCTCATGCTCTCCAGCAGGAGCAGCAGCCCTGCCAGGCACTGTCTACCCTAAGTCCCAATCTTTGCATGTGCCACTGGGTGCTGCAGCCTAGCCCCATCCTGCCCTCTCCCAGCTCTAGATTTTGCAAGTGTCAGGTGAGCTTCTTTCAGATAAGTTCTGTAGTCCAGCCTGGCCCCAGCTCTTGTGGGTGCCACAACCACACAGAGGCCAGCCCACACATCGCCAACAGAATCTGCCCCCATCCAGGTTTCTCACATTCTGGTGGATGCCGCAGACTGCTTGGCATGGCCAAGTTCCTGCTCCAACACTGCAGGTGGGTACTGCGGCCTTAACCAACCCGGGAATGCCCCCTCAGCCCCAGCTTTTACAAGCACCAGAAGGTGGTGGGTGATGTTTTGGGGCCTGCCCATGTCTCCCATGTTGGCTGATACTTTAGCCTGACTCAGACAAGCTCTCCACCCCCAAGACACTCCATCGCAGCTCCCTTGCCTACCTGCAAGTGCAGTGGCCTGGTCCATGGAAGGCCCCAGAAGTCATTCCTTCCTTGCCAAACATGCCCTAGACCATTCCCACTCCAACACATCTCCAGGACCCCAGCCCCAGGCAATCTGCAGCACCCCCACAACCAGGGAGCAGGGGTGGCGTATTGACCCAAAGTTCTCAGCCTTCCCCATGTATTATTATTATTATTATTGCTATTATTATTATTATTATTATTAAAGATTTATTTTTATTGGAAAGTCAGATATACACCAAGGAAGAGCTTCCGTCCATTGATTCAATTCCCTAGTAGCCGCAATGGCCAGAGCTGAGCTGATCCAAAGCCAGAAGCCTCTTCTGATCTACCCCATGTGGGTGCAGGGTCCCAAGGCTTTGAGCCAGTAGGCTATTGCACTAGGACCTATAGCTCTGTTTGGGGCAGGAGGAAGTCCTCCATTTTTGGTTTGGCAAATATAGCCAATGTGCATGAGGCAAGGAAAGATGGGTTAGAAGTAACATGAGCCATTCTTCTCTTCAAAAGATCTTTTAAAATTGTATTTAAAACGTAAAGAAGTGACAGACATACTTGAGCCGCGTTCAGACATAGAGTGGGCCAGAGGAGAAAGGTGGTAAAGAGAGCAATGTTGAGAGCAATGTTTGGGCCCAGCGCCGTGGCCTAGTGGCTAAAGTCCTCGCCTTGAACACTCCGGGACGCCATGTGGGCATGGCAGCTCCACTTCCCATCCAACTCCCTGCTTGTGGCCTGGGAAAGCAGCCGAGGACGGCCCAAAGCCTCGGGACCCTGCACCTGCGTGGGGGATCTGGAGGAATTCCTCGCTCCTGGCTTCGGATCGGTGCAGCACCGGCCGTTGCAGCCACTTGGGGAGTGAATCATCAGACGGAAGATCTTCCTCTCTGTCTCTCTTCCTCTCTGTTTTGCATCCTGTATCTGTGGGAGGGGAGAGAGAGCACCCATGCCAGTTGCCAGGTGTAAGAGCCTGAAAGGGGAGTGGTTGCATGACACCACCCCCAAGACCTAGATGAGGAGAAATGCATCATGAGGAAAGGGTCATTTGATTGACAGGTAGGCAGATGAGATTACACAGGACAGGGAAGGTGTGGCTTTCAGTTCATTGCCATTTTATTACTTCTCAGAGAGTTCTCACTCTTGATCTGAAGGATTGCTGCAGCATGCAGATTCATCCTATCTTCCACAGCTACTTCCTGCTGATTAGAGGCACAGGGCTTGCCTATCTTAGCTTCAGAGACTCTCCCTATCTCATCTAAATGGTCCATGGTGTCGTGAGCCATTCTAACAGGAACCACAATGTCAGGGGCAAATCAGAGGGTGAGTGAGGGCCTGCGGCTAGGGAAGTCAGATCATGAATGTATTGGGGTTTTTTTTTTAAGATCTTTAATTTTAAAAGAGTTGAGGGGCACAGGGAAGGATCGTCCACCCACTGGTTTACTCCCCATGTGGCTGCAATGCCCAGCCCTGAACCAAGAGAAAACCAGGAGCCAGGAGGTTCATTGGGATCTCCCATATGGGTAGTGTGAGTTCAAAGAGCCTAGCCACCTTCTGCTTTCCCGGGCCATTAGCAGCAAGTTGGATTAGACATGGAGCAGCCAGGACTTGGACCAGCATCCACACGGGATGCCAGCATCAAAAGCAGTGGTTTTCCTTGTTCTGCCACATTGCCATCCCCTAAATAAGAATATATTGACATATTAAGGAAGGAGAGTAAAAAAGCGCCAAGGGTAAGGGAGCAGATAGGAACAAATATCTTACACTGAATCAGTGTGATGGTTAAGATGGGCTCTGCTAGCATATTGGGTGCAAATCACTTTCGCCACACACTGACTACGGTACCTGGATGCATTAAATTTTCACAACCTCAACACGGCTGTGAAAGGAGCCAAGAATTCCATCTTGATCTCTCGTATGAGTAGCAGGGACTCAAGTACTTGAACCATTTCTGCTGTTTTCCCAGGTTACGTTAGCAGGAAAGAGGATTTCAAAGCAAAGTTAGACTTTCTCTGGCGCCCTAATATTGTAAAAGGCGAAGGATTTATACAATCCGAAGAGAAAGCGTATGGTACCCTAGTATTGGAAGTGAATGCCCTGAGTAGTAGCTTAACTTGATGCTCCACAACCCCCTCCCCAACATTGTCCCTCCGTGTGTAAGGCAAGATAATAATACCCACCTCAGATGGCAGTTATAAACCCCAGATGAGCTGACGTCTAGAAGGCGTTTATCTGTGTCTGTCATTCGGTATGTGTTCAGTAAATGTCAAGTATCGTTATATCCACAGGGTGCCTTGCAGTTCATACTCCATATATATTATTGCTTTGTATGATGTTAACAAATTGGCGTGTGTTCCTAAACCATTTCTAAAATGAAGATCAAACAGGTGCAGATAGATTAGCCAATCAACTCAAAGTCTCGTAGCCACAGCTGGCATCAGAGCTTCAGTAGGATTAAGGTTTTAACATGCCATAGCTGCCCCCTCTGAAGTGAAGCATGTTAGAGGCAGAAGGAAAAGAGGACCTGAGGATTTATGGGAAAGAAGCAGTCACAATTCAGTCCAGGGCAAACACAGAAGACGCCCCCACGGACTCTGCCAGACCCTGTACTGGCAAATTCACACAAGAATCAGGTCTGGGATCATCTCAGATGAAGTTTCATTGGAGATCCCTCCAACTGAACTGCTGATCTCAGAACCCCAACCATGAAGAGACTGTGTCAGCCAGTGGATCCTGAATAGGTTTCATCGCGATTGGAATGGCAAGAGTGGCAGCAATTCAGAACTGTTGAACTATCAGTACTGCTTGAGCAGGGCCCTTGGAGCGCACCTCCCGTTGGGGGTCGGGGATGGGTGGGAGGCTGGGTGGGGCTTTTCCCTTTGTTTCTCCCCTGATCCCAGATACAGGGAAAGAATATTAGTGTGGAAACAATGGTATTACCCACTTTCACCCTGTAACCCTTGACCCTTTGTACCCTAATCAACTAAGTAAGATCACTTTTTAAAAATAATAAATTTTAAAAAAGAAGACACCCCTTTGCTCTTAGAACTTAATTTTTCTGATTTAATTTTTTAGCTTCGAGAGATGTATAAATTGAATCTTAGCCGACCAATCCTGTTGATTCCTAGCAAAAAGGAGACCCCTGCCTCTGCTGAACTTTTTAAACAGCCACTCCAAGAGCTGCCAATAGAAAAAGACAAACTATACGACAAGAAAATCAGGTATGTGGTGGAAATACTGACACTGTGTTGATTAGATGTTTGAGATCGAATGCTGCTTTCTCTGCACAAGACTTCCCCCACAGTTATGGAACAGCGCAGAGTCTAAGGGAGTATTACTTTTCTTAGGTGATTTGCCAACAGTTTTATTTACTGTTTGTTAAGTTCCTTTTCTTTGAAAAAAATTTTTCCTAAGAAACAGATTGTTCTGAGGATGCATAATAAAGAACATTAATTCTTGCAGGAACTGTGGAAAGGAAGGGAAAGAATGCATGCTCTACGTATTCCATGAGGCTAAGAAGGTAGTCGTAATATAAATTTCTAAGTGAAGCTATAGGAATGCAGCTTTGATAACCATTTCAGCAAATGCTGCTTTTTCAGCCACCTGTCAAAGCAGGTGTTGCTGCTACGTGGCAATGCAAGAGCAGGGCATTAGAGGAGCAGGTAGAGGGGAAGAAATGTGGAGAGAATAAAACTCGTGCGTTTTGACTGTCCGTGGAGCTTAGAAGAGCCGTGTGCTCCCACTTAGTGCTTCTCTGATTCTATAGACAACAAGAAGACCAGCTGAGATCCATCTGGAATGCTGATCTGTCCTCCTCAAGCTACCCAATCGTAGAGAAGACACCAGTGAGTTTGCTGTGGGCCAAGCTGGGTGGGTTTCCGGACATTCCCAGGCTGCTCCAGTTAGACATCCAGTCCACCTTCAGAAAATCTCTTGCCTCCCTGAAGTCACGGTAAGTGAAGTGTTGGAAGCACCTGCGTAACGAACTAGGCCTTTAGTCCTCTGCCTTGCTTCTCTCTAACCTGACTTTCCCAAAAGTGTCTGGTGTGAAATTAGATTCGTCATCCAGAAAATAACACAGACAAATTCGGCATATGTCTGTTAGGGTTACTCACCCTAGGCCTGATGACGTCACCTTGAATAATATAAAGCAAATGCAAAGGCCAGACATCATTCTAAGACTCTAGATCGAACGCTCCAAAGGGCCACTTCGAATTCCACCTCTAGGGAAGTTACTGCAAGAACCAGAGAGGTATGAGTGGAATGTGTTTGTCCACATTATAGTTCAGTAATATGACCTTCAAAGCAGCTGTCACAATTGTCACATCTAGGCCAAAACTCACTTACGTTATATGGAGTGTCCCAGGCTGGACGGAAGAGACTCACAGAGAACAGGTAAGGGGATGATGTGGCTTCCCATTCCCGAATTCCATTGACCTCAATCAGCTCAGCTCCAGCCATTACGACCACTTGGTGAGTGAACCAGTGGCTGGAAGATCTTTGTCTGTTCTTCTGTCTGCAAATCTGACTTCCCGATAACAATAAGTAAATCTCCCATGGGATTGACATTTGTGCATAAAGCACTTTGATGAGCTCTGTGGGGAGCGTTGTGATGGGATTTCACTTGCAGTCGTCTTGATCTAGGTAAGCACATTTCTGATTATATTTACTCCCTCCCAGCTGCTGTGTTGTGGTTACACACTTAGGCAGCCATGCTGAACAGAATCCATGACTACCCCACACCATCTCTGATGACACCGCCGCATATCTGCCTATGTCTGTAGTATATGAAAAACACTAGAGTTTTCTTTGGCCAGACATTTTGAGGTTGCCAGTTTGCTACAGAGGAGCAGCCAAGCCTTTGTTCCTGCTGTCAGAGTGGGAAGCCAGCACGTCACCTGCTGTCCACATTTGTCAGCTGTGGTATCTGGCCTGGATCTTCTTGGACTTTCAAGTCACAGTGGCCCAGGGGGCTTTTGGAGCGGAGGGGTAAACATTCTCTGAGTGCAGGAGTCAATTACTTTATAATTCTTGATCTAGTATCTCTCCTTGGAAATTGTTATTAATTGTCCTGTTTTGAACTTGTCAGCCGTTCCATTGGATCTCCTCCATTTTGCCATGCTACCACACATCTCTGTTAAAAGACTGCTCAATTGGAACATCGGTGCCTGGAAATGTTCAGAGCAGGAAATGTTGCTGAAGTGAAAAATTTCAAGATACTATACGAAAGAATCAGGCAAATCAAAATCTCTAAATTTTGCTAGCACCAAAAAAACCCACAAGTATATTCACCAGAAGCAGAATAAACAGTACATACCGATTTTTGAAGACATCTTAAAATGTTAAGCTCTGTGGACCAATCACTGCTTGCTCTTCTTTTTCCTTTTAACCTCACTAGTATCTCTTCAAAATCTTCACCCTAAAAAGCATGATACTTGTTTTACTTTGTAGAAGTTCAGGAGCAAACTGAGTTCTTCTTACCGTACTTCATGTCTCAGCACATTCATAATCGAGCTTTTTTTTTTGTATTAAGCATCACTATATAGACATTTCCACCTGTACACAGCTGTTACCATACTACAAATCTAAAAAGCCATAAATTATCTTTTTTTTTTCCCCAAAAGTCATTCCTGTGACTGTTCAGCTTTAAATCTGGAGGCAACGCTTCCCTAACAGGACATCATGGACCAGCATCTTCTAATGCTGCTGTCGCATAAACCCCATCAGTCTTGTTTCATACTGTATACGTACACTTAACACAGCATGTCATTAAAGTTACTGAGAAAACTACCCCACACCAGAGATACAATTGTCTGACACGTCAACAAAGAGTGGTTTTCCGTGGGAACAATTCTACTGAACAAGGGAGAAGTAATTGAAAGCAGTCAAAGCAGATCGAATGTACAATTGTAACTCCAAATTTCTATATAGTGTTCCCTGTATGGTAGGATACAAAAATAACTCCACTGGGGCCGATGTGGTGGCATAGTAAAGGAATCTTTTAACTCTAAGTGCCAGCATCCCGTAAGGGTGCCACTTCATGTCCCAGCTGCTTCACCCCCTCTCCAGTTTGGGTGCCGCTTCGTGTCCCAGCTGCTTCACCCCCTCTCCAGCTCTCTCTTTATGGTCTGGGAAAGCAGCAGAGGACGGTCCAGTGCATCTGCATGGGGGGCTGGCAATAAGCTCTGGTTCAGACCAGCTCAGCTCTGGCCATTGCAGCCATTTGAAGAGTGAACTTCCTTCTGTAGAACTTTCTTCTATATTTCCTTTCCTCTATGTAAAATAAAATAATAATTAAAAAAAAACACTATCATCTAGTCACCCAAGATGGTTAATGCTTCCTATAATTCAATATCCCACTGTTTTCTGATTGTACCAAAAAATAAGCAATCAGTAAGCGATTTCTACATCTTAAAATCATTTACACTTCAACAGCCATAGTGTACGCAAATAACACCAAGATGGAAGAAGATCTAACCAACAGGATACCATTCAAAATAGCAGAGAGAAGTATGAAGTATTTGGGAATAAATCTAACCAAAAGCGTAGGAGACCTATTCGAAGAAAACTACAAACTATTTAAAAAGGAAATTGAACAAGACCTCAAAAGATGGAATAACATCCCGTGCTCCTGGATAGGCAAAATCAATATCATTAAAATGTCTATACTACCACAAGCAATATACATTTTCAACGCAATTCCAATCAAATTGCCCAAAACATTCTTCACGGAACTGGATACAATGATTCAAAAGTTCATCTGGAAACACAAAAAACCACGAATAGCTAGAACCATCCTGAAAAATAAGAGGTTAGCAGGGGGAATCACAATCCCGGACCTCTGGACATACTATAGAGCAGTGGTTATCAAAACAGCCTGGTACTGGCACAAAGACAGAAAAGAAGATCAATGGAATAGAATAGAAGCACCAAAAGGGAACCCACACAAATACAGCCAATTAATCTTTGACAAAAAGACCAATGATAGCTCAAGCAAGTGGGAAGGCCTCTTTAGTAAATGTTGTTGGGACAACTGGCTGATAGCCTGTAGAAACAAAAGGATAGACCCACATCTATCACCATACACTAAGATCCAATCTACATGGATAAAAGACCTAAACCTACATCCAGAAACCTTCAAACTCTTGCAAGAAAATGTAGGAAATACACTGCAAGACCTAGGAGTAGGTTCCGACTTTCTAAGAAGGACACCAAAAGCAATAGCAGTTGAGAACAGAATAAACAAATGGGACCTCATCAAACTAAGAAGCTTCTGTACAGCAAGGGAAACAATCAACAAAGTAAAAAAGCAACCCACAGAGTGGGAGAAGATCTTTGCACACGATATAGGCGATAGGGGGCTAATTTCCAGGATATACAAAGAACTTCAAAACAACCAAAAAACCAAAACAAACAAGCCACTCAAGAAATGGGCAAGGGAAATGGGCAAACATTTCACAAAGGAACAAGTCCAAATGGCAAACAAACATATGAAAAAATGTTCCAGCTCCCTAGCAATAAGGGAAATCCAAATTAAAACATCGATGAGGTACCACCTAACACCAGTAAGATTGGCCCACATAAACAAGAACACCAACGACGCTTGCTGGCGAGGATGCGGGGAAAAGGGAACCCTACTCCACTGCTGGTGGAGCTGCAAATTGGTACAGCCTTTATGGAAATCAGTCTGGAGAACACTCAAACAACTCGGAATCTGCATGCCATATGACCCAGCAATAGCACTCCTAGGAATATATCCAAAACACCTGTTTTACGACAAACCAACATGCATCCCTATGTTCATTGCAGCACAATCAGTAATTGCAAAAACATGGAAGCAACCGAAATGCCCATCAATAGAAGATTGGATAAGAAAGCTTTGGTTCATCTACTCCATGGAATACTACTCAGCTATTAAAAAAAACAAAATGCAGTTCTTTGTGGCTAAATGGGCACAACTGGAAACTATAATGCTAAGGGAAATGAGTGAATCCCAAAAGATTAGATACCACATGTTTGCCTTGATTTAACCTGTAATTTATTGTTTGGTTGTTTGTTATTTTTTGAACGTGTCATTGATGCTGTCTCAACCCAGATGTTTCGAAGAATGGAACTTGCATTATTTTTAACATATTGTTTACCCAATACTATGTCAATTAATTCCATAATGTTGTATATTGATACTGAGGCCTTGTTGGGGCTTTTAACCGACCGGATCTTTACTCTGTTAGACCTATCTTCAGACCATAGAAGGTCTCCCCAGGAGGCCACTGAACTTATCTGGACAATAAGACGCTGAACTTTATGCTAGCCATGTGTTTGCAAGCAATGAATCTCAACTGAACTTGAACTATGGTTATGCAGCAAGGTGGAGGAATCCACCATGGGGGGAGGGGTATGGGGAGGGGTGGGGGGAATCCCCAGCGCCTATAAAACTGTACTACATAATACAGTGTAAGCAACAATAAAAAAAAAAAAAAGAAAAAAAAATCATTTACACTTTAAAAATGGAATGAGACTAACTTTCCTCCTTTTTAAAAATGTTTCTCAAGCAGAGTCCCAGCGTGATAGCCTAGCAGTTAAAGTCCTTGCCTCGGGTGCGCCGGGATCCCATATGGGCACCGGTTCTAATTCCGGCAGCTCCACTTCCCATCCAGCTCCCTTCTTGTGGCCTGAGAAGGCAGTGAGGACAGCCCAGGGCCTTGGGACCCTGCACCTGCATGGGAGACCCAGAAGAGGCTCCTGGCTTTGGATTGGCTCAGCTCCAGCCATTGTGGCCACCTGGGGAGTGAACCATCAGACAGAAGATCTTCCTCTCTATCTCTTCTCTCTGTATGTCTGCTTTTCTAATAAGAATAAATAAATAAATCTTTATATATATATATGGAATATATATATTCCTCTTATATTTATAATATATATATATATATATTCCTCTTCAATCCAGTACAGATTT